AGATAAATAAAAGATTTTCTTTTTTTGTAAGCTGAAAAAAATCATAATTGAGCTACTCTTTAGCCATATGAGTTGAAAAATTAAGTTAAGCATAAACAACACCCTAGAAGTTTCAGGTAATCTATTGATATAACTTTTATTTAAACGCCCCAGTCGTTCTTATGGCTATTAACTTCGGATGAATCAACATCCAAATTTAGTTGCATAACCCGTGAGTAAATTAAAAATTGAACATTTAAATTATATAAGTGTATTTTGGTTTTGGTGTACATACCCACCTCAGTTCACAGGTAAATTTTCGTCGCTTTGTGAACTAATTCAACCAAGATAGATGCAATTAATTTGCGGTGTATTAGATTTAGAGCTTGGTATAAATTTAATATGTTTCAAACTATAGGTACTCTTTAAGCTTCCGTAGTTCCATGATACCTCCAAGAACAATTTAAAATTTTCACAAATTCGGTTAAGGAGTTATTGAGAACCTATATAATAATTACAAATATATACATTCAACTCACATATTTCAATATTTGTTCTAAGATATCATTTCTATATTCGAAATCATAAACTTGACGATTTGATGGATGATTTTATCTCATCTCCCCGAGAAACTAATGGAAACCAATTAAAAAAATACTAATTATTTCTCCTATAACCAATAGCAAACATTTATAAACAAAAATTTACGTCGTACATTTTAAAACCCCTGTTTGAGCCCCCTCCGGGTTGGACCTACCGGCACTAGTTGTGAATCTAAACTATAAAGGGAATCACTCAAACACACAAAAAAATCTTTCATCAAAATCAGATCAGCCGTTTAGGAGGAGTTCAGTAACACACACAGACAGAAGATATATAGGTACTTATAAAGATATTTATTATGACTAGTATTTTAGTATTAGATTGATAGAGTTAAAGTATTAACAATTAAACCATGTATACAGTAATTGATGTATAAAACCATTAAAATCAAAAATGCCTAAAACGAATTAATATTAAATGTATGGATTATTTTTAAATCAACCGAAACAAGCTAAGTTATTTCAAAATTCAAAAATTAAACTGGTTAAGTTCATAAACTAATTCGAATATGAACTAATACTATAGTTGAGTCAAAAAGTGTAAGAAAATTAACATTTTTACCAGTTAATGCCCAACTTTGACTATAATAATACTATTTTATGTACGAATTATGTTTCTACGCTAAACGACTCAATCGAAAATATTATTCTTATAATAGGCGTTCGATATAATACACCGCGAGCCACCGAGGTACACCTACGCCCGCGTGTTGTGCGTATTACACATTACTACGGTAGTATACGGTGTATTGGGTTCGTGTACATTATTCATAATCCATAACTCTTCCATCGGGTTTAACCTATTATAGGAAGCGCAAAACGCTAGCCAGGTCGGATCAGGTGGGTATATTGTGTACCTGTATGGGTGCAGGTAAGTATGGCTGCAGCGTGCAGTGAATGAAAACTCGCCGGCGGACTGATGCAGACGAAACGACCGTAAACACATAATAATATATTAATATTATATCCACCGGACGGCGGGGTGAGGCCGAGTGAATCGTATATTATTATTATTATTATTATTATACCGTCGTAAGTGCTCGAGTGAGAAGAAAAAAAAATAATAATCATAAAAATAACGAAATAATCGTCGTGCGTATGATACTAGTCGTTCGGATACACAGCACAGAATAATATTATACCTACATTATTATTATTATTATTATTTTATATTTTATTATTATATTATATTATAGTAGATAATAATATATACGTGCGCTCGCGCGCGCGCGTGTACGGTCGGGTGCCGGCCGGACAGTGGTACTCGCGGTATAAATAATACGGTAAAAGGTGTCAGCGCCTCGGGGGACGCTCGTGCGTGGGCAGATATATATACGCGGTATACACAGAGGGATCTATAATATTGTGTACGTGTTATTATTATTATTATTATGTATTATATGCTCCGCGGACAGTGCACTATATAATATAATACTATATACCTACTCCCGCCACTAGTGTACACACGCACACAAACTCACACACGGATATGGATATCTATATACACTCGAACGCCATATTATTATCCTCGACGACATTTCCATATTATACTATACTCAGCCGCGTAAGTTCTATATTATTATTATTATTATTGTATTATAGTGTGTGTGTATGCACATAAATAAGACTCTGCAGCGACTCCGCATTTTTATGACAGACCGTTATTGTATATAATTGCGCAACGTTCGTCGCTGCCTCAGCTACCCAACCGACCGATCGGCCCTGTCGTTCGCGCTGCAACACACATATAGGTTACATGGTGAGACACCATTTCCCCCCTCCCCTCACTTTCTTGTAATAGCAACTTGCGGATAAACTTTAAATCACGGTGCCCCCCCCCCCCCAAGGGTAACTTTATTATGCGTATAAACTTGAATTGACACTTGTTCGCCCATAAAAAAGCTGCGTACTATATAGGTACACCCAAGCCCAACCTAACCTCCCCAAATGATTGTGACTATCATAACGTATAGGTGCCTACCAGCTATATTACCTATAACGTGTAAAATGTCATTATAAGGTGACGTTTTACAATCTTTATGGTTTATACTGCATATTATGATCTCGTATATTATCGATGGAGGCTCATTTAATAAATAGATGCAATTACACGCATTTCAGTTATTTTATGGTTTCGTCCAAATCCTGCGTATTATCCGCAGTAGGAATTTTCTTCGTTTACACGGCACGTAATATATTATTACTTTAGTGTACTGGTCTCTCGCGTGCGCGAATTGTCAGAGGTACATATATACATATAGATACGATTGTATACACAAACGCGTATACGTATAGCCGTATAGGTACCTACGTTCTCTACAAGACTTTATAGCCTATCATTGTGTTTGCGCATTACGCAACGCAAATAACGTATTTTAATTTAACACACTTCGGACAACAACTATAACGCGGTCCAAGAGAGGCAACTTGTGTAAATCACGATTCCAAACACTATAATACACATTATATACCTACCTATATGTTTATGATATTATATATAACCACGAACTGGACTGATTTTGTTGAGCAACAATATACAACTATTATACGAGTGGTAGATGTTTATCGTTATAAAACATCAATAAATAAAACATAATAAATAATAATATTGCTATGTACTTTCTATATTAAAGATAATTTTGATAAATCGTTAAAACGTAATCTGAAAATCTATATTAATATTCGAATAAATTCGTATTTTATTTGTATAATATTTTAATCGATTTATATGGATTCATAATCAAGCAGTGGACGCACCTGACTCGGGATCTAGTTATAATATTGGCACGGTAAGCGCATAAATAATTACCAATATATAACACGACATAATCGTGGTCCGTGTAATGGATTGGTTTTGAAAAATATTGGTCGCAAAAAAAATGTTAATGTGTGTATTTGTTGTGGGGAGGGGGTGAGAATATAATTTCAACATACCTACATATATATATGTATAACAACATATATGTTATTGGGGTGTATACAATTTTAACCGATTTTATTGCTTAACGCTTTGTTAATCACCATAGAAATGCAAATCAAATCAATTAAATAAAATATATATTAAAAATCAATTTTTAATTCTTAATTTATTCAATTCCTGACAAGAAAAAAGTGTATCAAAAAGCACACTAGGTACTAGATATTTTTCCTATGTAAGAAAAAATAAGAATAGTGCAGTGGGAAAATTATTTTGTTAGAATTTTATTGATTTAAGAATTATAGATTGATTTTCATCATCTATTTTTTATATTTTTTATTGATTTGCGTTTCCATGCTATAAATAAAGCATTAGGAACAAAATCTGTTGGAAAAAAAAATTTATACACCATAAAAACATTCTATGTTAAAAATTATTCAAGAGAACATAATGTAGTATATATTTTTTTTTTTTGTTAATTTTTTATGTAAAATATACATGCAAATTACAAATTACAAAATGTAGCATGCAAATATGTAAAAACAATTTTTTCTGTAAAATTTATATTTTTCTATAATTTACTTATATTTAAATCTAAAAAAACTAAATATAATAGTAATATAATTATTAGTATTGTATCATATTATGTATACCTAAATATATATTTTTTAGTAAATATTGAAATATATTATATAAATGATTATATACTTTAATTTATTATATTGTACCTATTGTACGATTAAAAATCGTATTTTTAATAATTGTCAATAAGCAGATAACCTCCTAAGTATTTAAAAAAAATATACATAAATAAATAATAATTGTATGTTTTTACTTGTAATCAATTTAATTAAGGCGGGGCTAAACGATTGAATTTTTCATGCGTTTAAACCTATAAGCTGGCAAAAATTAAACATACCTATAGTAGTCCAATTTTAATTTTGAATACTAATTCGAATTCGTTAGCCTTTTCTATGTTTTGTAGGAAAAACTTTTTCATTTTTATGTCTTGTTAGCACTTAGTACTAGTGCAAGTTAATTTTGAGAAATTAAGTAAAGTAATGTCGAACCGTAATACGTGAACTATCCAAAATGAACAAAATATGTTTCCTATAAAATATTACGGAAAAGAGGTAAACGAATTCAAATATTTTTCAAAGTTTAAATCGGATTACTAAATATATGTTAATTTTTCACCAGCTTATTAGCATTATTCATTGTTGAGAGTGTACAATAAAGTTTTTTGAGAGTGCTCTCGTTGACTTGTGCACACGCTTAGGTGTGTTATAGAACCGGTGGTAAGAAATCCATTGTTGTCTTCGAAATAGTAATTTTATATTTTACCCATATGGAACCGAACTCAAACTAATAATAATTTACGACTAACGTAAAGATTACGGGCGGCGACGACAAGATTAGAAGTTGCCTAAATAGTTCCACATAAATAATAGCCAATAAGAGCCGCCTTAAATATAATATTTGGGATTTATAAATGTTTAATCTTAAAAGACTGTTAACTGAGCTGGTAAACCAGCACTAATTTTACTTTCAATGCCACAGTCGTCACTTCCTCTCAATATTTTGAAAAAGCCATCGCTACCCCAATCAGTATTCCATAAATTAGCTACCAACCAGTATGGTACTTTACTATTTTCAACACCCCAACCAATGTTTTTAACTGTGTAGCGTCCAAAATCCGCACCAGAAATATATTTATATACTCCTGTGAATGAAAAAAATATATTAATAGTTACTATAATTTGTTAAATCTTAAAAAAACATAGTGATAAAAGAAAAGTTAATACTAACCAGATCTGTAATACATAAAATCTTCATAATATGTAGTAAACGTCGCTGCAACTGGACCATTTGTATATATTTCTTGTCAGATTTGGTCGACGTCTTTTGGTATCGTGTATACAGATTTACCTGATATTCAAAAAATATTATAAATATAAATTGATAGAAGTATAATAGTATATCTACTTAAGAAAAATATGAGTATTTTTTTCTTTTATTGGATTTAGATTATTATTACCACGCTGCATATCTTCTGCATACGTTTTATTATATCCATCCTTACATTTGTTAACACAAGTAGGAGTTTTAACATCTATGCATGGTTCTCGAGTACCATTCACTCCAAGATGTTTACACGGAGCAACTTCATATGGAAGACATTCCTACACCAAAAATGAATAATATATTAAATTGTTATTTAAAATTTAATGAGATTATTATAACCTAATATAACTATTAGAACTATTTGGTGCAGAGCAACTACTCGTATAAGGGGTGGTTTGTTCTACGTTTGCTGATCGCAATGTACAATTTGAATGTTCAATAAAGTAACTAATTACCAATGATAATTGTGGAAGAGATTCATGTAGTTACCCCTCGTCAGTTACTTTTATCACAAATTCCACCGAAGGGCTGTTACCTTACACCTTGCAACCATACACCTTCTATCACGTCTTTCAAGTAGTAAAACACTAAGGTCTAAAAGTAAACAGTAGAAAAAACCGATTTTAAGTAAAAATTCCCGTTTTCCCTTAATTTTTATGTAATGACAGACACAAAATAAAAAATTAAAAATTAAAAAAAAAGACATCATTGTAAAATCTATACATTCATCTCTTCTCTAAGAATCCAAACGAATTACAATAATACTTAATATTATTGAGAAAGGCTTGCGCATATACAACAGTTAGTCACGGTCTCTGTGGAAGATAGAAGAATATAAATATAATCATAATATTATTATCTGTGGTTTCCGAGGGTTGCCTATTGGGTTGCCTACCAGGGCATGGAGTATAAAATATTTTTCTTGATCGAAAAGTCTCTTCTGAAAAAGGTTGAATCCATTATTTTTTTAGGTATTAAAATACTTGATGATTTAATATAAAAAGTTTCAAACTACCTACCTCTTCCTCTTCTGAATAGTAAATTGTATCTACTTATAGTACCTACCTATATTTAAAAACCTGTATAAATAACAAATTTAATATTTTATGTGTATAAAATATAAAAACTATTAGGTACATATTATAATAGAATGGTGAAAAACTAATATGGTAAGTTATTATAATCTGTATTAATAATTAGAGTAAAAGAATTAAAAACATTTCCAAATTAGATCCATATGGGCCTCCACTTACCATGCCTATATATTTCCAATAGTGCCATACCATGTCTGCGTAGCCATTTTCGCATCCGGAACCACATTCCCAAGGAAAGGAAAGTAAAATATGCTCAGCCGTATAATAGAAATTATCAATGCCATTAGAGGGATGCAGACACGATCAGTCATAACTTTTACAGGTCAAACAGCCTAAAATATTTAGGGGATAGTAAAAAATAAAATTGCCGTTGGACTTAAATTCGAAATGATAGAAGTATTGAAAATAGATTAACCCAACATTCTCCTTGGTCCCTGATTTCTCCAATGGTTTGGCAATTCGGCCAATGTTCCCTAGCATCAAAAGTTTCCAGCCGATCGATCAGGTCATTGTAACAGAACGGTTTCAATTTCCGCCTGCTCTCTAGCGTGCCAATCAAATCTTTTCAAAGAACGATATGTTGTGTCCTCTTGGAAAATGCGGTCAGCCTTAAATATATTACAACAATAGCAATTATATTCTGCTTAATCGACATGATGATGGCTACATTTTACTCTTACTCTAAAATAATCTTGTTTCGTATTTATGTGGTTGATAACTCTTCCGACGACCGATCCACGTTATCGATTTTGCTTCCGAAACAGAAAATCACTGTTAATTTCTATGAAGTTATATGATAATATGATAATATGTAATTAATATCTAGTACCTATGTAAAAACAAAATTGAAAATATTATACAATTGTTAAACGTGTTTGCACAGACTTTTGGGTCGTTTTATTGTTATAATAATAAAACTTCAACTCTGCGTTACAAATAATGTAATTATTTTTCTTACGTTTATATTACTATGCAATAAAATCATTTTATCTTTAAATTTAAATAAATATTGAATATATTTTAATATGAGTAATTTTCATTTTTACTGAAACACTCTATTAATTATGATATATTTACATATTTTAATAATAAAATCCACGTTACAATCGACATGGATAGAGCATGTAATTCGTGTTTTGAAGACATAACCATTATTCTTACAAAATCAAAAAACTAATTTGTTTTAAATTCAGTGATATTCTCATAGTATGAAGTGACGTCATGTTCAGGTATCACTTAAGGAAGACGACACCTGGACACGCAGCTAACAAGAAAAATCTGAAATTTAAGCAGATAAAAATTTCAGATTAATTAAAAAATGTGAAAATGTTATTAGTTTTTTGGGGGCCCCACTCCACGTTAACCATCGAAAACAAAAATCAAACTAAACTAGGTATTAATAAATTTAATAAAACCTAACTAGGTATAAAAGGTAGCAATTATAAAAACAATTCTAAACTGGACTTAAAGTATTACCTATCTATTGGCTACTATTACTTACTATCAGATAATGGCTGATTATTATATTATTTCCGTTATACAGAAGACGTATAATAGAAAATAGAAATACATATTATAATTCATACGTGGCGGGAAAATTCTATACATCTAATATGAATAGCATCGCATTGGTAATTGACAACAACTTTCTTTATGTCTCTTTTAAACAATAATAATATACAATAATCAAGACATCTGACATAATGTACGTTTTTAATACACTCTTGTCTTAACTTGGAATCTATTTAGACTACAAATAAAAATGGCATCATTAGAGCACAATAAATTTCAGACCTTATAACCATAATAGCTGCATAATATTATATATTATTATTATAACAAGCAGCTGTTGCAGTACGACGACAACGACACAAATACACAACGTTATTATATGTGCTCAATTCTAAAAAAAATTAAAAATTGTATGTCTTATACTAGGCACATGCACATTAGATACTTGCAATACAACCGCAGAGGTGTATACCTATACCTACTTGAACGCTGCTGCAAAGCATATAACTATTCCTATGACGGATATGAGTGGGCTCTAAATCATATTTACATACTGCAGCTAAATAAGAAACAAAATATAATGATTTACAAAAAAAAAAAATAATAATAATATTTTTAGTTTTGATAGATGACCATAATAATATTTTATACATACGACTAATATATATTATATCTTGGTAATAAAAATATAATTGAGTAAAATATAATTAAAATTTTATTTTAATATCATTTGTTCTAATTTATGTGAGCTTCGAACCAGTGTCGGTGCGCGTCTCAACCGACGCCTTAGTCCGCTCGGCCAATCCACCCCCCCCCCCCCCTGTTTAATTATTATATTGCTATACATTTAGTAAACTTTATTTTCATTATTGCGACGCTGTGAAATGTGCTTTGATACTTTATAAATATTGGGCAATACGGTGTATACGAAAACGGGCGGTTGTAAATATCGTCCATAATGAATTGGTAATAAAAATAGTATAGTAAATTTTACCCGGTATTTTCAGTCTCTACAATGGGTAAGTATAGTAAATTAAGCCCATATTATCTAAGTGGTCTTTGTTCATCGATATATATTTTAAATACTGTTGCATATTAATTATTGGTGTAAAATCTGAACATTAAAATGTAAATTTTATTATTATTTACCTATTATAATTAACCTATCAAAAAAATAAATATTATATACTTAATAATATTATGTCCATTCATATTATTATTTTATTTTTCTATTTTTTGTTAATTTATTTATTTTAACCTCATTTTCGGAAAATAGTGATAGTTGCCTCTTCGTGATGTCCTCTAGGAAATGCTAAATGGCTATCATACAATTGATATTACTTAGGTATATTGTCTGCTGGGCAAATTTACTACAGAAAAATGTACACCTGAAAGTGTTGGGCACATTTTTTTCGTTCGTTGGGAGCAATTAATATTTGTCCACTAAAACTTATTATTCAAATATGTTAAGGGTTAAAATCAATAAGAATCGAATATTATGATTAATTTGATTTTGGTATAAGGTATATATATCCCTATTGCAGTATCGTCCAACATATTAGTATATTATATAAATTTAATACAAATATATTATATTATATGATTTATACAAATATTTTTCAACAGTACGAGAACAATATAATATAATTGTCATTTGTCGTTATTATAAGTATAGGTAGGTTGCATAGGTGGGTACTATATTATTTTTCAATCTCATAATATTATTATAGTCAATATTTTCATTCGTTTGGAATCAGAATAATGATCAATGATCAACATAATAATATGTCATTACCGTACTAAAGTTTATAGCGTTAGATTGTGTTTGATTTTATACAAGCCGCAGCAATAGGACTTTATGACTACCTATATGATCTATGCAGACATTGTCCCTTTATGTTATTAAATGTATACGTAATGATATTTATTCGTTTATATTGTATTCAATGAGCTTACGGTGTACATAAATATTATATCAATAGGTGCGGTGTGAGGGTGTAGATAATTAGCAAACAGGTACCTACAACCTACTGTACATGTATAAACAGCACTAAATTGTGGAAACGTCACAGGTTCAGAAATAATTGGCTTGCGCAAGCTCGTACAAACACCTTTATCCGTATTTACTGTTTAGAGGAGGTGCTGATGTGGCGAGGTGCTAAGTGTATATATTTTATGGGTGAGGGGGGCAACCCATTACAAATATTGTAAACGTTACAGATAGTAGTAACCCCAGGTAGGTGGTATCATATAATTACTATATATTAGATAATACTCAAATAATATTATTATTTTAAGATTAGGTGATTATTGT